GTGGTGCGATCTTGGCTCACTGCAACCTCTGCCTCCTGGATTCAAGCGATTCTCCTACCTCAGCCTCCCAAGTAGGTGGGACTACAGGTGCCCGCCACCACGCCTGGCTAATTTTTTCTATTTTTAGTAGAAACGGGGTTTCACCGTGTTAGCCAGGATGGTTTTGATCTCCTGACCTTGTAATCCACCCGCCTCGGCCTCCTTAAGTGCTGGGATTACAGGCTTGAGTCACAATAATCTGTTTCTTAATTGTAACTATTCAAATAATGAACAGATAGTACTTTTTCATCAGGAAGAAAATATACACGGCATGTCTGTTTTAAAGTCCCTTGTCATTCCATCTGTCACAACTGTACTGGAAATGAGTAAAAAGACACTGTTTCCTACATGTCCAAAACTGAAAAAATCTACAATCCTTGCCAAAAGTCCCTAGAACCAATTTAAAAAAAAAATTAAAATGGGAATGTATGCATCCAGATGTATGTTAACATAAATCAAATTCACTATTCTTTAGGCATACCTTCACATGCTGCTAAATTACAAGTGCTCCACTGTTAATGACATGTCCCTCAAGGGGGTGAGGGAGTCACAGGCCCAACATCATATCATACAACAAACTGGAAACCCTTCCGTGTCTGTTAGCTTGGTGATCTCAGCGTATTTCTTAAGGACCAGCTGTCCAGGTTTGATACACCTATCACTTCAATTGACAGGGTTTTTGTCACTCTCAACAGGGAAGTTTCCAAAACCACAAAAAAAATGGGAGGGGGCAAACCACCCCCACATCTGCTCCCAGTCCCAACAGGGACAGCTGTTTGTGACTCAGCCAAGTATAAACAGAGCAGTTTTACCTGCAGGGTACTTCCATGGCAGAATGTCCTTCAAATGAATTTCCATGGCCAGAGATCCTGCTAAGACTGGGCTACACTCAATCCTTCAAAACCCACAAAAATTTCGGGTGAGGGTTAACATGGAAATGACGACGCATACTTTGGATTCTTGTAAAAGAGTCAATGTTCAGCTCTTCCTCCAGGAAAACAACAAGATCCAAAGAATCTTTTCTTCATCTCAAGGAGCCTGGGCTGGTGGCTATAAAAATGTTATGCCCTGGCTGGGGAGGCTGGCAGTAAGAGCAAGATATTCTGAACAATGGAAAAAGACCAGGATACAAAGAGTAAATAGGCTTTTCGTTGAAAATGCCAACTTCTACCAAAAAAGTAAAGTACCACATAGGCCAAATATATTTTCTGAATATGGGACTGAAGAAGTCTTACAAGACCCTCATGAATGCTTTGTTTGCAGCTACATTAATAATTGAACAATTAATTTTAAGCACCGATTCTTAAACCTTGGCACACATGAACATCAGTTTAAGGCCTTGCTAAAGAATGCTGATTCTCACTCCCAGGACCAGAAAGAGTACAAATCAGGAGGCCAGATCTGGTGATGCTTTTGCTCTGGAATTCTGACCTGCACTTGGGGAAACGATGTTAAGACTCGTAATAGGTATCTGATTTTTGTATGCAACAGTTAGTCTTGCTCTGCCCCCTATCACATGATGGTACTTGCTAGTCACCAAGACAAAAGGCAAAGCACTGAGCCCAAATGGATAGGGCAGGGGTGGGAGCAGGACAAACTGGGTAAGTAGGATTGAAGAGTCTAAGACAGGACAACACTCAACAGTAAAACAGAAGAACACAGGAAATTACAGCAAAACAAAACAAGAACAGTAAGGCCCACATTCACTCATTTACTTTGTTCTTTATCAACGCTGGATTACCCAACAGGCATAATGACCCCGAGTTTGGGGCAAACACATGCACAAACACAAAATCAATGTAATTATCATGGAGAAAAAAAATCAGAACTCTTACAATGAGATAAAAATAATTTAAAGTAACAAATTTATTTTTAAAAAATCAGAACTCTGACATAGAGTTTATTTTGAAAATCATTAAGAGAGTACACTATAATCTTTTCTGTGTTTAGGCTTTTTCTTGACATATGTTTATAATATGTGCCTGGCACATAAAAACTCAATAATGGAAGATAATCTCACATTTCTGAGGCCCTAAAATATTACCTGTACTGAGTTGTTGAGCTTTAGCAACAAATAATATTGGTTCCTACCACATTAGTAAAGGGTCATATGTATGTAAATAGCTATTACAGTATGATGAGCGCAATAATAAAGATAATAAAAATGTTACAAGGATCAGGAAGGAGCAATGCACTCTCTAGAAGCTGGGGGGCCCCAACATGGATTACTGGAAGAAACAAACCATGGGGGAAGTTCCACCAAATAGACACGGGGGAGAAGCACAGGGCAGAAGGAATACCACGTGCCAGATATGACAGCACGGTGAGCAGCGGAGAACTACACAGAGGAATGAGAAGTGTTGGCAGGGGACTGTGGGGCATCCAGGTCAACCCGTAGACCTCAAAGCTGCCTGGCCTTAGAAACAGAGGCAGGGAGAGAGAAAATACATAAACCACTGTGACACAGCTCTATACTAAAGAAATCTCAGCCATTATACAAGGGAAAAATAAATGTATTGCAGCTAAGTGGGGAAAACAGAAACCACGGCCCCACAATGGCAATGGTATCAACCACCAAAACTCTACCTTTTTTTGTCCCACTTTTTTTAAGCTCACTTCAAATTTCTGTTCATTCACAACTGCAGGCTCAAAGATTCACAAAAAGTAGCACTGGAAATGTTTGTAATTTTGTAACCTAACTCACACCCAGACACAGCAAGTATCTGTTGGGAGCCACAGCCAACAAGGCCAGGCCCGACTCCCACCATGGCTTCCTTGAGGTACAGCAAACAGATGGTGCCCAGTCAATTTGCACAGGCCCCTGGAGATTCTTAATCCCAATCCCAAATCACGAGACAGGTAGAAGGGGTCTTGGAAGCAGCCCAGATCATCCTTCTGCCCCAAGGAGGACTCACTGCCAATGTGCCTGCCTCTGCTTGTAGACTTCAGCACCAGGGCCTTATCACCCTGAGAAAATCTCTCCATGCTCCACTCAGACCTCTGACTCAACCTTCCTAAAACGCTATTTTAATTCTATAGTACCCTCTCTGCCTTCACAGAAGTAAGCCATCTTTTACAACGGTTCTCTTGGGATACCAATGCCTTTACTTTAGGGAGCTTTAGGGCATGGCACTAAAATAGTAACCTACCATGATTAGAGAAAAGGAGAGAAACACATAAACACGAAATGTGACCACAGTTTTGGGAACACACTTAACCCATCTTAGTTTTCTAGAGCTTCCAAACCTCCAGGGCTTAAAGATGGAGCCCTGTACTCTGGGACCCATATTCCTAAATGCTGTGTCTATAGACACACAGAGCCAGCACATGATTAAGCTTATTTCTGTAAAAAAATTAAACGTACTTATTTTACAACAACGAGTGACAGCCATTTGGATGAATAGATGTTAAAGGAAGGGATGATTGTAGAATCCTCATTAAGACAAGGGACAACCTTCCAATATTTAATAATTCTTTGATGACCCCTAACAGACTGATGTAAGCAGAAAAATTAGAAAACCAATGTAATTCACAGATGGAGACAAAAGGACCTAGAACTGAGTTCTAACTGTGGCACTTACTGGCTGTGTTATCTTGGACAAGTTACTTAACTATCAAACTCTATTTTCCTCATCTGTAAAATGGGAATAAATAAAATTAAAGATGTGTAGTAAAGGTTTAACACAGTGACAGGCAATAAGAAAATACTCAATAAAGTAAGTTCCTGTTCTTGCCTGGTAAGAATTACACGATAGCCTTTCAGCACTAACCTTACATCATATTCAACTCCCACATCTCTCAGGACATCCTCATCACTGTGTTGATCCCTAATTCTAAATAAAAGGTAACGGTGAGGGAAACACACATACCAACAGATAAGGTACTCTAATAAACATACCGTTTATCATTGGTGAGCTCTCAGAAGCCATCCACCGTCCCCCTACAACCCTCCTCTGGTGCCTCCAAATAGTGTTCAGGGTTCATCACTATCTACACAGCCTTACTGAGCACTCCTTTCTTCCATGCCACACCTTCCATCCAGTCCCCACATGCCTCACATGCATGCACCAGGCTCAGCCGAATCCTCACATCTTTGCTCATGTTAACACCTTCCACCCTTGCTGATTTGTGTTTTTGAGACAGAGTCTCTCTGTCGCCAGGCGCCAGGCTGGAGTGCAGTGGCGCAATCTCAGCTCACTGCAACCTCCGCCTCCCTGGTTCAAGCAATTCTCCTGCCTCAGCCTCCTGAGTAGCTGCGAGCATAGACATGTGCCACCACACCCAGCTAATTTTTATATTTTAGTAGACATGGGGTTTCACTATGTTGGCCAGGATGGTCTCAATCTCTTGACCTCGTGATCCACCCGCCTCGGCCTCCCAAAGTGCCAGGATTACAGGCGTGAGCCGCCGCACCTGGCCCACCCTTGCTGATTTTAATAGGATTATCACTGATAATCTAACCCACACGATCAGCGGTAAATCACATACTCTCTTGTATTTTTCTTTTACTTCTGTGCTTGCCTTCTTCTCTCCCCAACTTGTTTTTATTCTAGTCTACTGCATTGTGATGACTTCTGTAGCATCCCCCACACACCACTACTGCTCATGGCACAGCCCTAAGCCCCCAATAAATACTAGAGAAACAACTGCTTCACATGAACATCAGAGACAAATTCATCAGCAGCTTTGCTGCACAACAGTTTGACGGCAAAGGATCCACAGTTATAACTTTAAGTACAAAAATTAACCCATCACAACAAAAATGTCTAAAATCACTTTAAGCCCAGAAAGTTAAACTGGTAGCTCATTAAAGGCAGCATGAATCCTGCTAAGTGTTAAGCAACCCAGCCTGAAGCAATTTGCTTAATCTGCCAGAGAGGTAATAGGGACCAGAGCTGGGGAATTCAACATCACATCACTAGACAACCTCAAAGTGAAGGGGAGGACAGAGAGCTACTTACCACTATACTTAGGATCCCACATGATGGTTGGTACCTCTGGAAAGAGGAACTCATGGACATGTTATTTCAATTCTCTTTTCGTGTTTAACACAGGCTTGTGGTTTCCTGCAAAAATGGTTTCTGCTGCTTTGCTAAAACCTACATGGAGAAGAAAACTCCCAATGGCCATTCCACAGGTGAGAATTCTGCCACCAGCTGTATCCTGTTATCCAAAGGAAACGGGAACTAGAAGCTGCCAGGAGGTCCAGACACAGGAGAGCAAGACCATAAATTCAGTAAGTACTGACACTCCTATCCCTACAGTAATAAGAATAAACTTTAAATTTAGAAAACTTCACACACAGCTGGGTTTTATGTAAATTAACTTCGGCAGGGGTTAAAATAGATATCCGGCAAAGAGACTGCCAAATTCAAGCCTTTACACTTCCTTCAATCCTCCCTAGCCTCTATCAACCAAAAAGCAGGCCGCCCAAAAGGCTAAACCAATTATAAACCACCTGTAAAGACTAAATATAGGCAAGTAGGCTCTCACAGAAATGCAGACGTTACTGAGGTGGATGACCTTAACTGAACAAATGTGAGACCTGTTAGGAATGATTTCTGAGGCACACACAGCCCATATTCTCAGGCCCATTATGTGACTATTGACAAGTCCTACAAGTGTCTGGCACCGGGGATCAGAGACGCTAAAAATGTCAATGCTACCTTGTAAATTATGAAATTGGTTATGTCTTGAAAATATTGTCTTCAATGTTATAATTTCACAATACTAAGTCTTTAACATCTTGAGAACAATGACACTGTGAACACAAGGTGGCAGGTTGTTTAATCACCAATCAAAATTTGACGTTTTAAACAAAGACTTCAAATTAAAAACTTGTATATGTTACAAGTGAAAACCCTATAGATATGAGAAAGACTCCAGTATTTTCAGCAGTCCCCCATTAAAGATTTCTCTAATGTTATTAATGGCTTCAATGAAAAATTTTATTTTTGATGGAGAATTTCTACTCACAAAACATTCCTGGCATGAGTAATTCCTTAGTCATTCTTGCTCTTATACACTAAGCAGGGATACTTCTGAAAATACTAATGATTTCTTCTACGTGGCAAAGAACTAGAGTAGTCAACTAAAAGCACATGAAAATTATCAACTCCACTTTAACACTCTGATGCCAGGTCGATACAGAACTTGTGATAACATGAACGGCATTTTTAGCAGAGAATCTGACTATTTAAAGACAGCATTTGGGGAGTGCAGCAGAGGAAGAGAAAGGGAATCAGTAACATACTTTTTAAACTATGAAAATAATGGACCTATGAGCTTTCACTACCTGGAGGAGGAGCTAAGAATGCGTTGGCTTGTGGTTTTTAACCATTGCTGCTCCTGCTGATGGGGAGTCAGCCACGTTTCACGGTGAACCCATGTTTACAGTTGAGAACTTTTTTTGATCCTATTTAAGTCACCTTTAAGAATTGGTATCAATGAGATGAGTGGGCTCCATTTCTTAAGGATTCTGCTGTTCAAGTAAGAAGTGAGGATTTTATTTCTTCATTGCTTCCCATTATCATTTATTTCCTGTTAATCCCAAGTCAGGTATGCCGGTTTACTGCGCTGGTGTCAGTGAAAGATGAAGTTTACACAACATCTACTGTGCACTAAATTGCTGCACAGATGGCTTCTATCTACAGCAGCCCCCTGAGGCAAGTGATTAGCTGTTTTATACAGAGGAGAGAGGCCCCCAGCTAGCAAGGGGTTGGGCGTCAGCTCCCTCCTCAGGACCCTCTTACTATGACCAAAACAGACCGTCATTCTTTAGTCGACATGGGTTGTTTACTTGATTCTGACCTTTGGCTGTCTCTGGGTTTTTGGAGCAACCTCAGTTCTTCAGCTTTTCACATCAGTCTCAATTCTGGCCATCTTCTAACAATGACTAATCTAGCACTGAACCAGCTGTTTACTGCAGTGGGGGCCCTGCCGTGGTACCTGTTTAACTTAGGTGGGGGATCAGAAAGCCAAGGTCTCAGCATTCTCCAGAGAGTTTATTTGGACTATTTACAGTTAATTCTACCTATAATCTCTGTCTAGAGTATGCATTCAAATATTTGCTGAAGTGAATTATTTCCCTCTCAAATACTTCTTGTTTGCGTGCTTCACATCTTCTCCTCCTTGTCCCTTCCACATCAAATGGCTCTCCTCACGACCTACGTCTCTAAGCCTACATTCCTACTCTTCACTCCCACCCCCGTACCCACACCCCGTTAAGACAACTTCCAAAGCAGTAGCTTTACTGTTAGGAACCCGTACCTTGAAACCTTCAGTCTTTTTTCCCCTAAATTAATTTACTGTTTGACTGTAACAGTTTTCAGGGAAACTAGCCAGTTGCGCTCTTTATGTGCTAATTATGACCAAATTATTAGCACTTGGGTCATTGTTACAACAGTGATTTTATAAAACACCTATGTGCGTTTTTTTGAATTTTTGAAGTGTAGTAATTTTAAAAGGTACTATTTAGATGTCTAGCTGTTTCTCTAGCTATATTCTGCTGCATGTGCCACATACATTAAATATTTAAAGTGACACATACATAGTAATATGGTCTGTTTCCATTTACTAGAAACAACAATTTATCATTACGCATTTCTGTTATGTAAGTGCTATTTATCTCTTCATACACAGCTAGAAATGCTAAAATGTTTTAAAGCACCACGTATTTTTCTTGACAACTTCATTTATTATCTTAGTTCAAGTGGAGAAATTAATTTTCTATTCCTGCCCTATATGGAAGTTCTTAACATACGTAAACCCTCTTAAGAGTTTCCTACTAAGCAGAGTTCAAAGCTGGGTATGTTGGTGCACACCTATAGTCTCATCTACCTAGGAGGCCAGGGGAGAGGATTGCTTGAGCAATCTCCCGCCTTGAGGAGTTTGAGGCCACCCTGGGCAATGTAGCAAGATCCTTTGTCTAAATTTTCAAAAATATTAAAAAGAGTTCAGAAAATTTGAAATTTCAGGGAATAAACACTGAAGCTTCTCTTAAATGTTATTTCTAAATCCAGAAGTGTTATATTATCCCAATGTAGAGTGGCAATAACTTTAATAATTTGATTAAAAAAAAACAAACAAACATGTATTTAATCTTTCTTCTAAACCATTTTCAAGGCCGAGTGCAGCTGCTCACACCTGTAATCCCAGCCAGCACTTTGGAAGGCTGAGGCAGGTGGATAACCTGATGTTGGGAGTTCAAGACCAGCCTGACCAACATGGAGAAATCCTGTCTCTACTAAAAATACAAAATTAGCCAGGTGCGGTGGTGCATGCCTGTAATCCCAGCAACTCAGGAGGTAAGGCAGGAGAATCGCTTGAACCCGGGAGACAGAGGTTGCAGTGAGACAAGACTGCGCCACTACACTCCAGCCAAGAGTAAAACTGTCTCAAAAAAATTTTTTTCGCTGAATTGCTGCAGTTATGAAAATTTTGAAGCATACTTGAGTTGTTTTTAAGAGATGGGTCTTACTATATTGCCCAGGCTGGACTCCAACTACTGGGCTCAAGTGACCCTCCTGCTTCAGCCTCCCAAGTACTTGGGACTATAGGTGGGCACCACCACGCCAGCTTCCTGCCTTTTTTTTTTTTAACCTAGTACATGACTTTAAACTTAGATCTAATTTAACCAATTCTTCATCATAGCATTTTTAAACAATAAAAAGTTGAAATTGAAATAATTTTAATAGCTTATAAAAAACATGAAATACTTAAGGACAAATTTAATGAAATGTGTGTAAGGTCTGTATATTGAAGACTGAAAAACTTGCTTAAAAAATACAAAATTAAAGGTCTTTTGAAATAGAGATATACTATGGTAAATATATTAGCTTAATAATATTAAATGTCAACTTTCCCCCAAATTGATCTACAAATTTAATGTTTTTTGAAATGGAGTCTTGCGCTGTCCCAGGCTGGAGTGCAGTGTGGCGCGATCTCGGCTCACTGCAACCTCTGCCTCCCTGGTTCAAGCGATTCTCCTGCCTATAGTCTCCCTCTGTAGCTGGGACTACAGGTGAGCGCCACCACACCCAGCTAATTTTTGTATTTTTAGTAGAGACGGGGTTTCATGATGTTGGCCAGGATGGTCTCAATTTCTTTACCTTGTGATCCACTTGCCTCAGCGTCCCTAAGTGCTCAGAATACAGGCATGACTGCGCCCGGCCAAATGTAATGATTTCTAGTAACAACGCCAGCAGTCTTTCGTAAAGAACTGGCAAGCTGATTCAAAAACTTACGAAAATGCAAATGACTTAAAATATTCAAATCAATTTGAAAAAATAAACAGAGGTAGTATAAGTCAGAGGACTTATACTACCTATTATGTCATCCCATTCTTATGAAATTCTAGAAAAGGCAAAACTAGTGACACAATGTAAACCAGTGCTTGCCTGGGCCCAAGGGTGGGGAGAGGCAATGACAAAAGGGCAACAAGAAACCTGAGCGTGAAAGAAATGTTCTATTTCCTGATTGTGGTGGTGGTTACAAGACTGCAGGTAGCTGTCAGAACCAACTAACCTAAGTACTTCAAATGAGTGAATTTTACTGTGTTTAAATTATACCCTAAATAAACCAGATTTTACAAAATTTTTTAATTGTTTCAAACGATTCAACAGTTCTTTATACTGTAATGCTTTGTGTCATTGTGTTGAACACTCATTATCACTATTCCATGGCTGGGCCTGGTAGAAAATCCCAGCTTCCTCCACAACGAGGGCAGTAACTGCCTGGCAACAAGAGGCCCACATGAAGTCACAAGGGATGTGGCAAGTACATAAAACTAGGTAACTAAGATAGTGCCAAACGTTTGTTTAAAAGTACTACAAAGTAGATAGATAATAAGGATAAAAATGAGCAAAATTAAGTGCAACTTAACCAACTGCAGTCACATGATGTTATAGCTCACAGAAGGCATAAAAGTGAATGTTTCTGAGATGCTACATCTGTTTCTCCCCCACATCTACACAGTAACATAAAGTAACTGAACTCTCTTCACTGTCAATGCTTAAAACTCTGAGCCTCTGTCTAAATGCAGTTCTGTCAGATGCATACTGGCTAGTTCCAACAAAAGAAAGTGATTAGGGCATACTGACTTTATTAAAGTTACAAAATGAAAAAGCTATTTTGGAAAGGGAAAGGCTATTTTAAAAAGACTAACCATGAGCCTCTAAGCTAGTTAACGATTTAGAAGAACCTTGTACAAACCATGTAATCTTTCTAGATGTCAGATTATTCCTCTATAAAACAAATGATAATGTTTTAATGCTACCATTTTAAACACTTACGTTTGTTTTATAAAGCAGTATGAGTTGAAAGTGAATTATCTTTATTAGTATCCACATAGAATCAGGCACAACTCTTATAAACTGCCATTTAAAAAGGCACCGCTGTTCTTCCCCTACTATGGACTCCT